CTCTGATTCTGGTAAGTTCTAAAATAACCTGAGAAAAGAAGAGATCCTTAAGTATTAAGGTTATGAACAGCAGTGAGTTTACTTCATTAAGCATTAAGCTATTTTTTTTTTCTGGATGAGACTGTTTCTAGAACCTAAGACATACACATACCTTTTCAATCTCGGTTCCCTGGTGGCTCAGGCGGTAAGAGTCGGCCTGCAATGCAGGAGAGCAGGTTCAATCCCTGATGCTGACCCTGACGCTGGGAAAGACCCTGATCCTGGGAAAGACTGAAGGCAGGAGGAGATGGGGATGACAGAGGATGAGATGGTCAGATGGCATCACCGACTCAATGGGCATAAGTCTGAGCAAGCTCTGGGGGACGGTGAAGGACAGGGAAGCCTGGCGTGCTGCAGTCCTTGGGGTCGCAGAGTCGGACACGACTGAGCAACTGAACAACCACCTTTTCAATGGGGCTTCCCTGGTGGCTCAGATGGTGATGGTAAAGAATCTGCCTGCATGCAGGAGACCTGGGTTAGATCTCTGGGTCTCAAAGATCCTCTGGAGAAGGGAATGGCAATCCACTCCAGTATTCTTGCTTGGAGAATTCCATGGACAGAGAAGCCTGACTGGCTACAGTCCACGGGGTCGCAAAGAATAGGACACAACTGAGTGATAACACACACACCTTTTCAATATATAAACTCCTTAATTTTCTAAAAGATGCTCAGTGAATTCAGTAACATTTTTCTGAGGTAGCAGGACGTGGTGATTAAGATTATTGCTTCTGGCACTTCCCTGGTGGCTCAGTGGTAAAGAATCTGCCTGCCACTGCGGGAGAACAGGGCTCAGTCCCTGGCCTGGGAAGATCCCACGTGCTCCAGAACAACTAAGCCCGTGGGCCAGTTACTCCACGCGCTCTAACTACTGAAGCACCTAGAGTCTGCGCTCTGCAACAAGAGAAGCCACTGCAATGAGAAGCCTACACACGGCAACCTGAGAGCAGCTCCCACTTGCGACAACTAGCAAAAAAAGCCCACACAGCAATGAAGACTCAGCACAGCCAAAAATAAATAAATAAATAAATAAATAACAAGGAATACTGCTTCTGAAGTCAAAGAGCTTGCATTCAAAGCCTGGCTTTGCCACTCACCAGTTGGGCAAGTTAATAGTCTGTGCCTCAGCTCCTCTATCTGTGAGTAGGGATAATACTGGTAGTTGCCTGAGAAGGTTCTTCTAAGGATTAAATGAATTAATACATGTAACGTACTTAGTGCACTCCCCACTACATAGTTCTGCATGGAAAATGTGAGCTGATACTGATGACTACTATTACTATTGTTGCTGTAACAGTATTTTATTTCTTGGTGCCTTAAGCTCATTATAAAAGTCTCAAATTACTATATAATGTGTTACAACCTAATGATACTTTTTTAAAGGGAAGAGGGCTATTGGCTTTTACATAAAATGGTCCCAGACTGATTTGCGGGTGTGCTTTTTTATATGCTGTTTTATAACTTTTCTATTTTCCTTTGTGAGGTCTCTGATTTTCACTTCTACTGCTGTTAGTCATTCTCCAATCTATATCAGCTTCTTTTCACTCTTCCTTTTTTTTTTTTTTTACAGGGGTATAAAAACCCGTAAACCAAGTTTGTTAGGCATGTGTGTCAAATAAAAGCTAATATATGGTAAACTAAGTTGGAAAAGCTCTTCTATGAATAGAGGAAAGGAACTTGATTCCATGGATATCTCATTTGGCCCTTCAGAGATAATTATTTTTTATTTCTCAATCCTTATATAACTATAAAATTAAGTTTCTGGGGAGATAGATGTAACAAAGGTTACACATACATGTTAAAATTTAAAAGCCTCTAATTTGGCTTTTTAAATGCTCCTTAAAGTCCTACTAAAACGAGATCCTGGAGGAATAAAAGTGAATGCTACAGTCCTGAACCTCACAAGGCCTGCAATGTAGAGGGGGTGATAAAGCATAAACAACCAATGCCAAGAAAATATAATAAGAGATAGCAAAGATTTTCACATTGGGTACTATGAGAGTCTAGAAGAAGGGCCCTTAGCCTCCTGGGGGTCCAGGGAAAGTTTCCTGAAGAGGATCATGCCTGAGCTGAACCTGGAGGACAGCCAGGTGGAGAAAGGTTGAGTGGGCTACTGCAATCACAGGAACAGGAGAGGTAACGAGGCAGGAAGCAGCATTCTGCTTCTGTGAGAGTATGCTTGTGTAAAGAATTACTAACTTGATATTTTGTGCTTTTCTAAAAAGTAAAATAGGAAATTGTGAGAAATGAAGCTAGAAGTTAGACTGAATAGGGGCCAGAGTCAAGATGGACCTTCTTATGCTTGCTGAGAGGCTTGGGTATTGCTTATCAAGAAATGCGGAGCCATTAAGAAAACTTTAGGGAGAAAATGACAAATTTCAGCTTTTCCTTTTAGATATATAACTCAGACAGCACTGCAAAACACAGAACAAGGCTAGAAAAGCCTGTTTCAGTTCAGTTCAGTCGCTCAGTCGTGTCCAACTCTTTGTGACCTCATGAACTGCAGCACGCCAGGCCTCCCTGTCCATCACCAAGTCCCGGAGTTTACTTAAACCCATGTCCATCGAGTCGGTGATGCCATCTAACCATTTCATCCTCTATCGTCCTCTTCTCCTCCTGCCCTCAAACTTTCCCAGCATCAGGGTCTTTTCCAATGAGTGACCTCTTCGCATCAGGTGGCCAAAGTATTGGAGTTTCAGCTTCAGCATCAGTCCTTCCAGTGAACACCCAGGACTGATCTCCTTTAGGATGGACTGGTTGGATCTCCTTGCCATCCAAGGGACTCTTAAGAGTCTTCTCCAACACCACAGTTTCAAAAGCATCAATTCTTCAGCACTCAGCTTTCTTTATAGTCCAACTCTCACATCCATACATGACCACTGGAAAAACCATAGCCTTGACTAGACAGACCTTTGTTGACAAAGTAATGTCTCTGCTTTTTAATATGCTACCTAAGTTGGTCATAACTTTCCTTCCAAGGAGTAAGCGTCTTTTAATTTCATGGCTGCAATCACCATCTGCAGTGATTTGGGAGCCCAGAAAAATAAAGTCAGTCACTGTTTCCACTGTTTCCCCATCTATCTGCCATGAAGTGATGGGACTGAATGCCATATTAGTTTTCTGAATGTTGAGCTTTAAGCCAACTTTTCCACTCTCCTTTTTCACTTTCATCAAGAGACTCTTTATTTTTCCTCACTTTCTGCCATAAGGGTGGTGTCATCGGCGTATCTGAGCTTATTGATATTTCTCTCGGCAATCTTGATTCCAGCTTGTGCTTCCTCCAGTCCAGCGTTTCTCATGATGTACTCTGCGTCTACTGGTGTCTAAAGGCTGACTGAGGGCAAGGTAGTAGTTATGACGATGCCACGAGGGTCCCAGATGGGTTTTGAAGATAAAATTGGAATATCCTCATGATTTGTTGGAGGAAGAGGATCCAAAACTGAAAAGAATCACGATGACTACCAGATGTTAGGCCTTGAATGACAGGCAGGCACACTTAACTGAGAGAGAAATAGTTCACTATTTTTGTTTTTGTTGTTGTTGTTCTGTTTTTTTAAATTTAGTTTTGCTTTTTTTTCTTTTATAAATATGAAAATTAATTTGCTTTGGCTTAAGACATGTTAAGTTTGAGTTAAATAATGTAGAAGTCAGAACTGAATTAACAAATAGAAGAACAATTAACAAACAGAAGCAAGAGAGCAGATACGAAGTCCTAGGAAAATGATTGAAAAGAAGAGCTACCCCGGGGAAAGAAAGAAGAGCAGCAGAACGAGGGTGGGGCGGGCCCCTGGAACTCCAGAGCTCAGGAGGAGCAGAGGCAGGCAGCCTGGGACAGAAGCGGGGCAGCACCCCGAGAGGTGCAAGGAGACAGCCTTGCACCTTCCCGGCACCGTCCGTGAGTTTCACGGGGCTGGTCCCTGAAGAAGCTAAGCGCAGCGTGTAAGTCGCATTTGTTGGGCACTCACTGCACAGCCAGCACTGTGCTGTCTCCTACAGTGTACCTCCTTTAGTCTGTTACCCGTGTGCTACAGATGCCGAATCTGAGGGCTGGCGAAATGCATAACTTACCCAAGGTCACAGGGTGAGCTGAAAGAACTGGCATCTGAACTCAGGGCTACAGGATTACAAAGCCCATGTTCTTAACTCTGCTGGAGTAAAAGAACTTCTTCAGGATGCCACTTTGTATTATCTTATAAGGACTGCTATATAGTGCTTTTCCAAGAAGCATATCTTTAAAACTAAGAATTTCAAAAGGAGGTCATCATACATTTGATTACTTTAACAAAAATACACATTTTTGGAGTTACATTTCTTGAAATATTTTTGATTTCATAAATACTACACTTGTCAAGAGGCTTCCCTCCTAGCTCAGTCGGTAAAGAATCTGCCTGCAAGGCAGGAGACCTGGGTTTGATTCCTGGGTGGGGAAAATCCTCTGGAGAAGGAAATGACAACCCACTCCAGTATTCTCACCTGGAGAACCCCATAGACAGAGGAGCCTGGCAGGCTACAGTCCACGGGATCTCAAGAGTCAGACACGACCTAGCGACTAAATCACCACTGCCACCACCACACTTGCCAAATCATGAGAACAACAAAGTGCAACACACGGCGATCCACTCATTAGGGCGCTGCTCCAGTAAAGTCACAGGAAGGTACTGGACAGATGACTTAGTGTCCTTCAGAGGAAAGCTAAGTGCCCTGCACTGAGACACCTGAGTCTTCTTAGCTTGCTCACAAATACTCTTACTGGTCTCAAGAGAAATCAGAAAGGCTATGCACAGTTCAGCACAAACCTACCACAAATATGGAAAAATTCATTAGAATAGTTATTCTACAGAAAGTTTATTTTAGATGATAAATTATTGTTCATTTAAAGACAGAGAATAATAAAGTCACATTCCTATTATAAAAGTTGTAATTTTCCTATTTCCCACTAGAGGAAGCAATAACATTACTCTTACCATTTGGCGGATAAAAGACAGCATATTCTTCTAGTCCTAGTTTTCCTGTAAGAGAAAAAACACACAGAGTTCCAATATTGCTAAATAAAATAGAAAAAACTTTAAAAATTAACTAATTTTGTGAATATACTAATAATTAATGGAATTTTAAAAACTACTATAGTACAATCTCCTTTCATTTCATGATAAGAAATTAATTTGAAAATATGCCAGCCAATCTTTTGGTATCAGCAAATCCTTTCATCAATGAAGGTTAATAATGAAAACTTAAGTACAAGGTAAGTAATGCAAATAATTTAAAAAACGTTTTCAAGCTCCTTAAGCACTTATGAAGAGCAGCATCTATCTGTAAGCACAGAATTGTTGTATTAATTATAAGTAATTTTATTTTTGTCTTTAAAGTAAATCTAAGCTTTGTAATACCTCATTAATTTACCATTTGTATGCAATGGGCAGAAGAGTTTAAATTAAATATTTATCACTGAACAGTGGTCATATTTTCTGAGTCCTTAAACAATTAATATGGTCTGAAGTGTGAAAGTTGCTTAGTCATGTCCAACTCTTTGTGACTCTATGGACCATAGCCCTCCAGGTTCCTCTGTCTATGGGATTCTCCAGGCAAGAATACTGGAGTGGGTTGCTAGTCCCCTCTCTAGGGGATCTTCCTGACCCAGGGATCAAATCTGGGTCTCCTGCACTGCAGGCAGATTCTTTACTGTCTGAGTCACAGAATATATATTTGAAATCACTATTGTCTCATAAAATTAAAGTATATTCACCATAATTAAATGTTTAAAGGAGTTTTAAAATTTTTCCCTCAAAACATTTAAAGGTCTGAGGTTTTTCCCACCTTCCACTGAAGTGTGAAAAAGTAGGTAATGTTTATCTTGACATTTTTTCCAACACTGTTGAGTCTACTGAAAAGACATATGCATTTTTGCATTTGACTTTAAGGCAAGATTTTAATTAAAACAATTTTTTTAAAAAACAATTTTTGTATTTCTTGTTGGGAATGGTGGCAGAGAAAAAAATGGAGAACTGGATAAGCAGTTTAGGCTAAGGTGGAGACAACAAGGATTGATCTTGTGAGTAAGAAGGAAATGAAATGAGAGATAGATGGTAGGTTGATAGGTATCTAGAGGAATGGATGATAGAGAATGCCTGCTGAGTACTCAGTACTGGGCTAGGTGCCAAGAGGCAAACAGAATAGATGTAAAATGGTCCTTGAACCACAGGGCTTATAATCCAGACTAAAACAGGGAACATTAAGATATGTTTGCTGGATTTTCTGGCACAGGCTTTAAGTGTCTTAGAGGTTTAGAGGAGAGGGAAATTGATGAGAGATTAGTGGACTTGGTGAGTAAGAGGTAACAGAGAATGTATAATTGGTCTCTGCCCCTGGTTGCTGGCACAGAGCTCCTGAAATCCTTGATATTTCCTAGGTTTATCAAACCTAGGAGCACTAGGAGCATCTCTTAGGCTAGTATTTGTCTTTGATGCTGTCACCGATACAAGGCTTCTGAAACCCTTGTCAATTCCTAAATGAAACTAGCATTAAGAGTATCTTTTATTCTGTTGGGGTGACCTGAGTGGGCTCCTGAATGGGGGCTTGTCGCCAGAAAGACCAAGCCATGATTAGAAGCTTGGAATTTTCAGTCTCACCCCCGACACTCCAGAAGGACTGGAAATGGTATTTAATAATTGATTATGCCTATGTGGGCTTCCCTGGTGGCTCAGACGGTAAAGCATCCGCCAGCAATGTGGGAGACCTGGGTTTGATCCCCACGTTGGGAAGATCTCCTGGAGAAGGGAATGTCTACCCACTCCAGTATTCTTGCCTGGAAAATTCCATGGACAGAGGAGCCTACAGTCCATGGGGTCACAAAGAGGCAGACATAACTAAGCGACTTTCAAAAAATGTGAGGAAGACTTAAACCCCAATAGTAGGGGGTTCAAAGAGCTTTCAGGTGGGCAAATAGGTCAACAGAGGGAAGATAACACATCCCAATTCCACAGGACAGAAATTTAGGTTCTCATGACCCTCCCAGAGCTAGCTCTATGTATCTCTTCATCTGGTTGTTCATTTGTATTCTTTATCATATCCTTTAACAAGCTGGTAAATATAAGTACATGTTTCCCTGAGTTCTGTGGGCCACCCTAGAAAATTAATCAAACCCAAAGAGGGGTTTGTTGGAACCTCCAACCTATAGCCAGTTGGTAAGAAGCACAGGCGACAACCTATGCTTGTGACTGGTGTGTGAGAGTGTGTGTGTGTGTGTGTGTGCATGCGCGTGGAGGGGGGCAGTATTGTGGGACTGAGTCCCTAATCTATGGGAGCTGACACCATCTCTAGGTAGACAGTATTAGAATTGAGTTAAACTGTAGGATACCCAGGTGGTGCCAAGACTTGCTTGTTATTGTGGGGCAAAACTCCCACATACATGTAAACAGAAGTGTCAGAAGTGAAGTGTTTTGTGTGAATAGTAAACATACTATTGGGAAATACAGTAGGAAAGAACTGGGTTTTTCCCTACATAGAAGGAAATAATCTGTTTTTCTGATACTGTGATATATAGACTAGTCCTTCAAGAACCTATGATTTTGGGGGTGAAGGAAAAGGAGTCCTTCCATGTGCAGGGAATATATAGAGATTTAGAATGAATATGCGGTAATGTGGAATAAACAGGGAGCCAAAGTTAGGTAGGTTAAGACAGGGCCTTAAAATCCTGGCTGACTTTAGAGGTGAGTCCCTTAGATAATTAAGTTCTACAATCAGTTTTCAGCAGATGATGTTAAAGAAACAAGCAAACCAAATGTTTCTATCAATTCAGTGTAGAAGCAGTGTAACTGAGAGAGCCCCGAAAGTTTGGGGGGAGCCTGATCCTAGCACTGGGAATGTGAGCCTGTCTTAGGGCAGGGGGTGTGGTAATCACGCAGACAGTCGGACTTAGAAGATACAGGCAAACAGCTTCTTTCTTTATGGGAACAGCAGAAAAACCATACACAATAGGTTTACAGGCTTTCAGCGCTGGGAATTCACTACTTAATAAAAATGAGAAATCAGGGGAAAGTCTTTTAGCTGACAATTAGCTTAGTTGTCAGGTGACAGCAAGATACTGAAACAGCATGACCTTGTAGGCAGCTAGTGATAAAGACAAGAAAGCACTAAATAGAAATCAGAATGCTAATTGCATATAAATTATATCAAACTTTTAAGTGTGGTGTAACACTGAGAGAAGGAATAAAGAAGGCAAAAAAAGTAGAAAAAGCAAATTCAAATGATAAAGTCATAGTGAGAAGGGGGAATAAAAATCAACATATATGACAGAAACTGCAACACAGGATGGAGCAAACAGGACAGATAAAGAAGGTAACTTTAAACGCTGTTTCGGGGATCCACTTTCCGGGGAATTGTGACAAGCTGCTTGCGAGTAAAAGGATGGTTACAATAACTTGAGAGACATCTTTTTAAATAATTTACAATAAAAAACTTTGACAACATAATATACGCTATAAAATGAGCAGTCTTGGTATGATTATGTTAGTGCTAAAGAATACTTCCTTTAATTAAGTAAAGTTTACCTCTTATGTATGATTTCGGTGGTGAAGCACTGTTGTATGCAAAATGACTCAATACAGACGTATCTCGGGAAAAACAAAGTAATACCTGGGTACAACATTGGAAAAAAACCAACAATTAAGCTCTATTTTATAACAGGTAGTTCATTGCTATGTCTGCTTAGGAGGCACTGAGGCAGACACTCCCTCCAGCTCGGTACAGTACCTGCCCGTGGGAACAGTGCCCTCTACTGGTACACCTGCGGAAAGTGTTACAGTGGATAACCCAGCGTGACGGCCCAAGTTCATCCAGAGGTTTCTCACCGGTAGGCCACCGAAACCTTGAACAACAGGAGAAAATGCTAGCTGTTACCTACCAGTTGATTCTGTATTACCCAGCTGATTAGTGTATTTTCTATCTGGAAAAAAGAACCAACTGGGAGAAATGTAATAAGATAAAGAATGTAGAGGCGGGACCCTTGGTAACTACAGTCTGGAAAGTTCAGGAAACAAACTCGGCTCATTGCTGGGATGTGGCAGCTGGCAGTGGGCATGTCAGAGGTGGGGGGAAGGCAACTCAAGGTATCTAGAAGAGGTTAGCAGCAGCAGAACAAGTGGCAGTCCAACACATGTTAGAAGCTGGGTGTCCTGACCACTCTACCTGGAGGTGAAAGCAGGCAGGAGAGAGTCAAAATCAAAGATGTCCAATAAGAGGGTCTGAACTGCTGATTTCAGCTTGGAATTTTGGCACAGGGGACCAATCCCCAGGAAGGGGATTAGTGATAGGACATCTGGGTCCTGGTATTGGAAGATGTGGGATTCAAAAAAAGTCACTGAGAAAAGAATCTGGGAATAACAGAAAAGGCAGAAGGCCAGTTAACAGCACAGGCACAAAGTAGGCCTGGACGAGCAGCAGGAACGAACGGAGAGAGGAACCGTGGTTCCAGGACAGGAGGAGGGGCCCAGCTTTAGAAACAGGATACACATGGAGACGGGGCATCAGTCAGGCCCAAAGGCCAGACGCATACTGACCACTGCCACTAATGTATTCTCATTTTAAAGACTACACGAACAATACATGTTTATGACAAAAATCAGAAAAAGTCAGAAATACAAACAATCAAAGAAAAGAAAAAATACCTACAATCCCACCAGTGTTAATATTTTAATGTATATCCTTTCAGATTGTTCTTATACATACATATTTACATTTTCAAACAAAATAGGATAATGCATACTATCCTATACTCTATTTCAATATTATAAAATAAGTATATTCTACCCACATTTTTAATGCTGCAGAATATTCCACTGTGTAGATGAATAATATATAACCTTTTATTGTTGAACATTTAATTATTTCCACTTTTCCCCAGCTATAAATAATGCTGCAGTGGACTTCTTTATAGCTAAATATTTATGTACACCCTTACTTAAATTTCTAAAACTGGACTAGCTGTCTGGTCAAAGTGATGGGCATTTTAAATCTAAAACTCTTCACACACATAGCAAAACTGCCTTTCAGAAAGATTTTGCTTTTGTTTTTAACATGGACAGCAGTAAGATAGTACACATTTTCTCTTACTCTCATCAAAATGGTTTATTATCATCTTATAGGTAAAAAAATGGCACTGTACTTTAGTTACTAATGAGGCTGACCACTTTTCCATTTATATTTCTTTCATTATTTTCCAGTTCATCATCTTAGTCCACTTTAAAATTGATTTTTTTAAAATTACTGATTTGTTTAAATTTGTACATATTAAAGACACTAACCTATGGTCAAATTATATGTTATAAATGGCTCTGCTCAATGATTTGTTAATTTTCTTTGACAGGTATTTTTAATTTTTATATGCTCAAATCTACCAATACTTTCACGCTTGGAAAGTCCCTTTCTGCATTTATCAGTCTACTATACATATTCACCTAAACTGTGAAGTAAATGGTGTTTATCATCAAATACTTCTGGTTCTTTCCCTTAGAGAACATATGTCAGCTTATATTTTTCGTCCACTTTGGTGTTAGGTGTGGCCATGAGATTTGCTCTTTAATCAACAAAACAGGTATGTGTCATTTGAAAGTTTCCAAATGGAAGCTCTAAGAACCAGAGTAGTTAACCAGGGTCCCTCTTTCCCTCTGCACAGAAACCATCAGTGTCCCAGACCGTGGTCATGCCATTAACCTGGGTCCTGGAGTGAGGATGACAGAGCTACGTCCCCATCCTATCTGGGATGAATATGACCACAAGCAAGAAATAAATCTCTGTTGTGTTAAGTTGCTGAGATTTTTGGATTTGCATGTTGCCACCGTATCCCAGGTGGTTCAGTGGTAAAGAATATGCCTGCCAGTGCAGGAGACTTGGGTTCGATCCCTGAGTTGGGAAGATTCCCTGGAGAAGGAAATGGCAACTCACTCCAGTATTCTTGCCCGGGAAATCCCATGTACAGAGGAGACTGGTGAGTTACAGTCCATGGAGTCACAAAGAGCCGGTCATGACTTTGTGACTAACCAAACAACAACCAATAGGATAATCTAGGGCCTCCTGACAAAATCAGGAAATTTTGTTTAGCAATTTGACAAAATCATTTGGTAATAAAATCATTAGCTCATCTGAAATTTATTTTGAAACTAAACTGCTGGAGTCCAAAATATACCCCCACCACTTACTAGATGTGTGATACCAGGCAAATTACTGGACTTCTTAGAGTCTCCTTTCCTCTATGTCATACATATAAAATATTAATACCTACTTCAATGTCTACGGTAGGACTTAATTAATATACATAAAGTGCTTAAATCAGTGTCTAACACATGGTGAGTATTATTACAATGTTAGCTGCAGTCACTATTTATTACTATTCCTACTGCTTTAAATTTTATTCCATATTCTGTAGCTTTCCCCCCAGTATATTTAATTTTGGGTTTGTTTTTATCTCTATGGCTTAAGACCACCATGTGTCTTCACCGTGAAATTTTGTTCATCCTCATTTCTGGAAAATTCTCAGCCATTATCTTTTTGAAAGACACCTCTCTCGTTCCCTAGTCACTCCTACCTGACTCCTACAGATCGAAGATTGACCAACACTTATTCAACCTGCTGCAACTCCTAATCAGTTTCACCCCTCTGTGCTCTGGTGCTTGGGATATGACAAAGGAAACAGACAAACAGACAAACAGAAAACCTCCCTTAAGGAGCCTGACTGGGGTGGGGGGGGCGGGGCGGGAGATAAATAGCAAACATTGTAAATAATTACATTATATAACATATTGGTTGGTAAGTGCTACAGGAACAAAGTAGAGGGGGGATAAGGAAGGGCAATTGCCATTTTAAGGAGAACAATCAGGGTGAACTTCATTGAGAAGGTAACATCTGATGGAAGACTTGAAAGAACTTGAGGATATTAACATTTAGATATCAGGGAGAAGAGCCAGGCAGAAAAGCCAATAATCGCAGCGGTGCTAAGGCAGAAGTGTGCCTGATGTGCTGGAAAAACCAAGTGTGGCTGGAGCAGATGAGTGGAAAGAGGTACGTGAGAGAGGAAAAGAGGCCAAATTATGCAAGGCATTGTCAGGATCTTGGCTTCTATTGGGAGTGAAGTGCAGCTCCACTGCAAAGTTTTCAGCAGAATAGTGAAACGACCTAACTTACTTTATATGGATTCCTCTAGGTACTAAGAAGAGAACTGGCCACGGCGGGGCGAGGGCAGGGACGCCCTGCAGAAGATTAAGACAAGGATGGGGACTAAGATGGGGGCAGTCTGCAGCGGCCACTGGGACGGGAGGCCCAGATCCTCTTCGGGAATAAAGGACTTATGTTGCCTGGCTCTTTACTTTCCCTTATATACACCAAATGATTATTTCTCATATTTAAAAGAAAAAATGATTTCAATATTTTATTTGGTAAACAGGTATTTAACTGATTATAATTCTAATGGTTTTCAGTTAATTCCTTTGAATTTCTATATACATATATTTGATAATAATTTTGTATCCTTTCTGGTATCTATAACTTTATTTTTCTTATTCAAGGAAAGGCACTCTTTTCCAGAGTCTCTGGAAGAAACACAGACAGCCCTGACAAAAGCTTGATTTTAGCCCACTAAAGCCCATTTCAAAAAACTTTCAATCTTCAGAAAGAACTGTAGGACAATATATTTATTTTGTTTTAAGCCACTAAATTTATGTTAATTTGCTATAGCAGCACCAATCAGCTAATACAACTAATATAACTAATAAAATTATACAATTAATGTAATAATAAATAACTACTAAAAAACTACCAATAAAATAAATAAATACAAATAAATAAATAATGCAAAAGGAAGTATACTTACAAATATCCTTCTATCATTGCCTAGAGGGAAGACAGTTCCTAAAGAAACATTTGTATTAACTTTCTCTTTGAAACTGGTGGGAACGTAGTAATGTTAGGAGAAGTTCTGTGCTTAAATATATACCCCTCAAATCCCTAATGCCTTAGAGAAGACAAGATGTCTGAAACTGCTCTTGGGAGAACATCGGTAACTGTAGCGTGACTCTGATGATAAGCCAGAGATGGGATGTTACACGTTATGTACTGACGTGCAACCCCAGCATTCAGGCAGCGAGCTGCCAACTCCTATCTTAACCTGAGCTGTTTTAACTTCTGAGATCCAATTTTGTATCTGTAATGAAGTTACTGTTCACCTGTAAATTTGCTAGAAATGTTGTGACTGTATGAAGATGACAGTTTCAATCAAATTAACTAGAAAATTCAACTTTGATTACTCACTAATTAAGTACAAATTGAACTTTATGTGGATGAGATAACATATGTAATGATTACTTTATTTATAAAAGTTGGGAGCATAAGTATAAGCTGGATGTGTAAGTCTGAACTACAGTTTTATAGCAGAATTACACCTAACATTTCTACATACAGCTGCATAAGATTTACATGAACTAAAGCTTCCTTTAGTTTTTGAAAAGATATTTATAATGGATGTTTCTGAGAAATGTTATTTATGTAATAAAAAGCATATAAGAAATGATGTATGTCTGTTGGAAAAATCACTTTAACTTACAATTATTGTGCAATTTTAAAATTTGTGGTGTGTCTTGTATTTC